GGAGAGAGAGAGAGAGGAAAGGAAAGGACTCTGATTCCCAGGAATGGAAGCTCAGAGGTCTGTGAAGTATCCACTCACAGTTAGGAAAACTCTCCTGGAAGCCTGCTCCTCTCTGTTCTGCCCAGCCGGGCAGCCAACGATTGGCGTGTGGCCCTCCATTGGCAAATTCTACGCCGTCACTTAGAAATACATGAAAGGAAATGGGAAACTGTCAAACAATCTGAGTTATAAATCTGTCAGTGGTGTGCATGCCAATCAAGAGGCAGGTTTACTGGGGTTTCAATGGGTAATTTGTTCCAGATAAGTCTGGATTTTTTTCTTTTTTCTCCCCCCGCTTTTTTTTTAATATTATAGCAATGACATCACCCCAAATATACTCTGTATTTGCCCTTTTGCTTTTCCGGCCTACAGGCTGACAGATTGGTTCAGTCTGTGCTGTCTGATATAATGCTTCCTTTATAAACTGGAAACCATCTGACTGACGCTGTGATTCTTGAAACCACATACTTTGGAGCAATTGCAGTGCAGCCCCCACCCTGTCCAAGGGCTGCTGGGCGAGCCGAAAGCCATGCCGGCGGAGGGGCTTCGGCTCACTGGCAAAGCCCTGCAGGAGGCCCCGCTTTCCATCGCTGGCCACTCCCAGCAGGGCTGGGGAAACCTCCAGGCTGGGTGGGACCATGGACGGCCACGGCCAGCCAGGGCCCGTGCTGGGCCAGAAGGACCCACGACCTGACTCAGGATGAGGCAGCTCTGCTATGTCTGAGCAACAACCGGGAGGCATTCTGCCCTCGATGTAGCTGTCCTGCCATTAACCATACCTGTGAACACTATATTTTTTCTCCCTTGCATGGAACTCGCTCCCTGCACATGTGTGGCAGCCTCCACCCACCTGACACTTTGCAATTCAACTCCTGTTAGACCCTGCAGCATGACCCATGGACAGAAATGCTAGGATCAAGGGTCTCAGACAGGAAGGGGAGGCTGTTCCATATGCTCACATCAGTCTCCCTTTTTTACATTTCTCCTTTCTACGTGATATTTACCTTACCATTGGCTCAGGATCTGGTATCCCAAGATTGCCCTCCTCCAAGGCTTCCTCAGCACCAGGCAGCAACAAGGAGCAGGCACTTACCTTTCAGTGGTGGCACTTACCTCACGCAATTCTGTTTTATTTATTTAAAGTTTTATATCCCACCCTTCACAGTATCTAAAGTTTTTATATCCTCCCTTTTACAGTGTTTCCCCCTTTCTGTACCTTCATTTTTGAATGGTGGGGGGATTTTGTGCCTCTGTGGTGGATATAAATGTTCTTTGATGGTCATTTAAAGCATTTCGTTGGTTTGATTTTATTGTGCGTTTTTAGGATTGCCAGCTGCTTTGTGTTGCTGATGCAAGGGTGCACGTCGCCAAGGGTGCGGCCCCGTGAGTTCAGAGGGTTGCAGGCATTCTGTGCAGGGTGGGAGAAGCGCAGAGGCAAAGGCCGCTTCTGTGCTTGGCCCATCCTGCAAAGCCGCTAGGCAGCAGATTTTAGGCATCCAAGTGCAATGACCTGGAGGGGAAGGGGGCAGACTGAAGGCACAGCCGGGATATACTGTACCATGTGGTTGCCAGTCCCCCACCGCCCCCCTGGAGCACCTCCTGTCATTCTTCCCTCAGATTGCTCTACAAGCTTGGAGAAGCAGCTTCCACCGTTTTTCCCCCCTGTGCCCGTTGCAAAGGCAAGGAGGCGATGCTGCAACCACAGATTCCCAGCTGTGCTCAGAGCTGTTTTCTGACCTCGGAGCTGGGAATCCAATGACCTAAAGGCCCACTGGACACTGTCCCTCTAATAGCAAACTCACAAGGTTCATGTCAAATGATGATGACGATGATAATAATAATAATAATAATGGACAAGACAGGGCCACTGGAAACCAAGAGGGAGATATGGGCATACTTGAGAAAACTTTGAAGTTTTCCAAATTACCAAAAACATGAAAGAAAATCCTAGGGTACATCCCTCAAATCACACAAAATAACCCAATCACTACAGAATGATTGGAAAAACCTGGAAAAGGAAAAAGAGGGGGAAAACAGATGGAGAGAAAGGGAAAGAGAATAGCATGGAATATCCTGGAGGCCATGGTTAGTCAGAAACCTGAACAACTGAAACATAGTGAGTGCTCCTATGAGGAAACAAATATACATTGCAACATCAGGTTGCTACTCCTGAGCATAACAAGATAAGAAACTTTGTAACTCTCCTCTACTGCACTACACCACGAAGCACCAAATATTGGAGGTTGATTTGCAGAACTATTTTAAGAGGGGGCTTCAACATCCTGGAGTCACCTCCAGCTGATTTTTCTGGACGAGGCACAGTCATGTGAATGCTGGAACGCCATGTTGGCCCACTGCCTCCTCCCTCAACCCAGATTTCTAAGCTCTTGCAGGAAGCGCTGAGCTGTTGTGCATTGTGCATGTACAGACAAACACCCAAGCAGCGTTCAAAGACCCTGCACAATTCACAGTAGCTCCACGGTGCCAGCCAGCCCTTCAAAACACAATGGTGTATGAATCCACCCTTGAAGAAGTCTTAGCTGGGAAGATTCGGGGCAGTACCTTGGCTGCTCCTGCAGGGATGCGCTTGATGCTATTCATGCTGGCTTTCTTCTCGCCTGCAATACTCATCCATTTGCCTGACCATTCCTTGATTCTATCTCTGCACTGAATTATTCTCTGCCACTTCATGATTGCCTTTCCCCCTGCATCTCAGACTAGACTACAAGGGCTCTGCACATTCAGGGCCAGCTAAAGTGTGTTTTCATTTGCTTCATACTTGAAGATTATCTGGCCTCAACAGCTGCTGAAGTCCAACCTCCCAGACTGTGGGCTTCTACAGACAAAATGCAGCCTCGTATAACAACCGAGAGCCCCCCCCCCCCCGCCCATTTCTAGACTCTAGATCCACACGGAGTAACGTGCAGCCCAACACACAGGCCTCAAGCTAATGTCAAAAGCCTTATGCGAGCAAACAGGTCAGCACTCCACCAACAGCAACCTGTCCCTTTCCTACGCGGTCACTTAGAAGTGAGAGAAGGGAAGAAGCAAGAGCGCAGAAACGGCGGGGAAGGGGAGAAAGGGAAGGAGAAGGTACAGGAGAAGGGAATCGAAGGCAGTCACAGGAAGAAGGGGCCACCCCCACCTGTTTTTGGTCAGGCCAACACATCTGGGGAAGCCCAAATAGGCTGCGTGAAGACAGGCGTTCTTCTCCCTCCCTTCCCCATCAAGTTATTTATGCGACTCCTCAGCGGATGCAAATTTCTGTGCGTTTAACTGATACTGGCAGAGCCCTGTAGTTTGAGGCACACTCGGCATTACTGTAGATGACCCATCTTTGGTTTTCGGAGGCTGGGATAGTGGAGGTGGTCAAGGTGTCTGCAGTCCCGCGTGTGCCAGGCCCTGCTGCTAGATATCCATGAGCGCCCACTTGAGATCTGGCCCACCAGGGAGTGATTTTGGTCCTTCAGGTGGAGACAGGTGGGGCAAGCCGTTTTGCAACGAAACACCTTGGCCACAGCAACAAATTTATGGAGGTGAAGAAGGCTTTGCAGGGTAGCACAGATAAGTGGGATGGGTGACTTGAGTGTATGATTCTACGATTATTGCTGTCAACTGCCTAGAGAGCTTTGGCTATGGGCAGTATAAAAATATAATAATAATAATAATAATAATAATAATAATAATAATAATAATAATAATAAGCTAATAACGTGGGGCAGCGTGGGGGTCCCATGTGCTGAAGGATGGAGCACACATGTATTCGGGAGATAATACAGGAATGCAAGATACAGGGAACGGAGCAGGTGGTCCAGAGATGCAACAGGGCTGGTGTTACTGATAAAGGGGGAAACCTGATCCATGGATCAGTTTTCAATATCTGAGGAGAAACGGGAAATGGCATTGTTCACTAGGGGCTTTGGTCTTTGCTTGTTGGGTCATGGTCTTAAGGCAGTTCACAGAAAAGCTGTTTCCTTTCCTTCATTCAGGATGTATTTTTAAAAGAGGGAGAATGAGGAAGAAGAATCAGAAAGAAAAGAAGAAAGGAGAGAAAGGCAAAAATAGAAAGATATCCCCATACATCTGAAAGCAAAAGGCCTCCGTACTGTGGTTTGTGATTGTGACTTACTGAAGAGTAAACCTGTGCAGGATTTCCTTGCAAAGCCGAGAAAACTAAGCAAACTGGTTGGAAAACCTGTCTCTGCGCCTTTGAACTTGGCAACTCCCAGCTGCACTTTCCTGGGCGCTTCTACTGACAAGCGACTTGGGGAGGCCTCCTGCTTCCCCCAACCTTATGCGCCCCCAGATGCTTTGGCCCGCTACTCATAGCGGGCCGGGGATGCTGGGAGTTGTAGTAAAACACATCTGGAAGGACCCCAGGCCGGGGGAGGCAGCTTGAAGTCCTGCCAAGGTAGGCGGAAGAGGCATGCAGGAAGAGGCCAAGGCCTTTTCCTCTCTGCCCAGCGATAAAAGTAGTTTGGATATTGCGTTTCGTTATTTCCTCAACGCCTCCCCGTTTGCTTTAGACACAGACACACGCGCCAGAGTTAAGAAAGTGGCGGAATCCCTCCTGGCTCCCCACCCGCAGCACTTTCCCCGTCGCCTCTCGTGCGATCGGGAGGGAGGGAGCGGGGAGGCGCGCTTTCGAAATCCAGCTCCTCTCCGGCTGCCTCCCGATGCCAAGACGTTCCCCGGGAAAGGGAGCGGGGCGGGCGCTCTTGAAGCCTCTCATCTTCCCACTAGGCTAGGCTCCCCCCACCGGCCGATGTCCCCGCCCCGCGGTCCGTGGCGCGTCCCCGATTGGTGGGCAGGGCCGGTGCCTTTGAAGTGTGCTGCAGATCGGAGCTATTTGACGTGTGGCTCCGAGAACGGGAAGGTTTTTTTTTTTATTTTTGTCTCGCCGGGCCGGTGCGGTCGACCTTGCCGCGGCTGCCGCTTCCCCGGCGCGCCCCGTCCGCCGGGCTTTCGCGCTGCGGAGCTCGCCGCCCTCCCCTCCCCCCTCCAGTCCCCGGCCCTGCCCTGCCCTGCCCCGCCCCCGCCCTGTCCGGCTCGCTCCCCCAAATGAGCGGCGGCTCGCCCGCTGGATCTAACGCAAGGACATCGCCCTCGAGCAGCGGAGGCAAGAGCGCGGCCGCCGCCACCTCTCCGTCGACCCCGTCTCCGGGAGCCGCGTGCCCGGCGCTCTCGCACCTGCCCCCGGAGGACCCCTTGCGCCAGGCGAACCGGCTTCCCATCAGGGTGCTGAAGATGCTGAGCGCCCACAGTGGACACCTCCTGCACCCGGAGTACCTGCAGCCCCTCTCCTCCACGCCCGTCAGCCCCATCGAGGTCAGTCGCTCGCAGGGCAGGTCCCGCTCGCGTCGCCCGACGCCGCTGGCGGGCCGCGCGGGGCCCCGATCCTCCTCGCCACCGCCGCACCCCCCCCCCCCGCCGCCAGGCCTCCTGGCGGCTCCTCACCTGCTTCCCCGGGCGCCGGGGCGCCGCTTCCCTCGGCGCGTTCCGCGGCGCCTCGGGGCGCCCCACCGCGATCTGGCTTGGAGAGGCGTCCTGGCTGCTCCGCGTCGCTCGGCGCCTTTCTCGGGCGCCCTGAATGCGTGGAGTTACACGCGGGTCGCAGGAGAAGCCCCCTGTCCTGGCCTACCTTCCCGAGGGGCCCTGAGCCCGAGGCTGACTGGAGGGGGTGGGTGGGTGTGTGGGTGTGTGTGTGTGTGTGTGTGTGTGTAAGGAGAAACGGGAGGAGAATCTCCCGACCCAAGTTGGCGAGTGCGATAGAAGCTCCTTGGGCTAATCGGCCGCGTGAAACGCGCTCGGAGCCTTTGTGGCTGAGGGAGGGGTTCCCATCCCTCTCGGAACATCCATCCATCCAGGGAGGGAACAGGTTGAGGCTCGTGGCTTCTCGCCCCCCGGTTCGAGGGAACCCCTTCTTCCTGGGGAACGGGCGCCCGCCGTCAGAATCCGGCCGGATTCAAACGCGGAGACCTGTGCCCGGGGGAGCTGGGTTAATGAAAGGGTGCCGCGGGTGGGGGCAAGCGAGCAGCCCCAGGGAGAGGGGAGGCGAGCGTCTGCATGACTAAGCCGGCGGGAGCGGGGGAGCGGGGACGCCGTTTGGGCCCGTGGCGGGGAGCTCCGGGGGGCTTCGCGATTTCTGTGGGGTGGCGCTCCGTTCTGGGGAACCGTGTGCCCCCGTGGGGGTGACACAGCAGCCGCCGTCGCTCGCTCGCGGCTCACGCGTCTCTCCCCTTTCTTCTCGCCTTCCCTTCGCAGCTGGACGCCAAGAAGAGCCCTCTGGCGCTCCTGGCGCAAACCTGCTCGCAGATCGGGAAGCCGGACCCTCCGCCCGCCTCCAAACTCAACTCCGGCACCCCCGCCGGGCTCGCCGGGCCGGACAAGGAGCCCGGCGGCCGCGCCTCCGCCGCCAGCGCCCTCAAGCAGCTGAGCGAGCCGCCCGCCGAGGACAAGTCCAGCTTCAAGCCGTATTCCAAAGGAGGCGGCGGCGACCCGCGCAAGGACGGCGGCGGCGGCGGCGGCGTGGGAGGCGGCGGCGGCGGACCGGCGGGCCAGGCCGGCCCGGGCGCGGAGAAGACCGGCTTCCGAGTGCCCAGCGCCGCCTGCCCGCCCTTTCCCCCGCACGCCGCCGCCTCGTCCTCCTCCACCTCCTCGTCTCCGGGCGGCTCCAGGGGCAGCTCGCCGCAGCACGCGGACTGCAAGGCGCCGGACGACAAGAAGGAGCTGGAGGCTGCGCCCAAGGGCAGCGCAGACGGCGCGCAGGCGGCCGGGGGCAGCCGCGCGGGCAGCGGCGCGGGCAGCGTGGAGCCCGGGGCGCACGGCGAGGCGGCTTCCGGGCGCAAGTCGGAGCCCCCGGCCCTCTCGGCCGCGGGCCACGTGGCGCCGGTCTCTCCCTACAAGCCGGGGCACTCCGTCTTCCCGTTGCCGCCCTCCAGCATCGGCTACCATGGCTCCATCGTCGGGGCCTACGCGGGCTACCCGTCGCAGTTCGTGCCCAGCCTGGATCCTACCAAGCCCGGCCTGGTGAGCAGCCAGCTGCCGGGGGCGCTGGGGCTCCCGGGCAAGCCGCCCAGCTCCAGCCCGCTGACAGGGGCCTCCCCGCCGTCCTTCATGCAGGGATTATGCCGGGACCCCTACTGCCTCAGCTACCACAGCGCCTCCCACCTGGGCACCAGCAACTGCTCCAGCTGCGTGCACGACCCGAGCAGCCTGAAAAGCGGATATCCCCTGGTGTACCCTGCGCACCCGCTGCACACCACCCTGTCCAGCACCACGCCCAGCCTGCCGGGCCACCCGCTCTACACCTATGGCTTCATGCTCCAGAACGACGCCCTGCCTCACATATGCAACTGGGTGTCGGCCAGCGGACCCTGCGACAAGCGGTTTGCCACCTCCGAGGAACTGCTGGCCCACTTGCGGACCCACACGACTCTGCCAGGGGCGGAGAAACTCTTGGCCGGCTACCCTACCTCGGGGCTGGGGTCCGCGGCATCCTGCCACCTCCACCTCCCGCCCACCGCCCCGGGGAGCCCCAGCTCCCTGCCCGGATCCCTGTCGCTGCGCAGCCCGCACACTTTGGGACTCAGCCGGTACCATCCGTACGGCAAGAGCCACTTGCCCGCGGCCGGGGCCTTGCCGGTGCCCTCCTTGCCCGCGGCGGGACCCTACTATTCTCCATACGCCCTTTATGGCCAAAGACTCACCTCAGCCTCCGCACTTGGATATCAGTAACTACAGCAGCCCCTTTCGTCTGTCGCCTCTCCCTCTCGTGTACTTGCCCCCGGACTATGTATTTATTTACTATATGTTAGCTTAAAGCTGGGAATATAAGTGCATTAATACACCAATGGTATGCAAAAAGTCTGTGTGCCCCCCAAAAAACAAAAAAAGAAAAAAAACCCCAACCCAATATTTTGCTTCCCCCCTTTTGGTTAATTTTCGCAGGAATGGGGGCTCTTACTGTGTTTTCATTTATCCCCCCGTGTGTAATTCTTTTTCCCCAGGTCCCATGAACTGTTTGCATGATTCAAAATCCATCCCCTTTTCCCCACTCCCTTCTTTGTTTTATTTTAATTTTTTTGGTTCAGTTCCTCTTCCTTTTGTACAGCTCCCAGAAATGTAATTTTTTTTGTTGTGTTTCTCTCTCTCTCTCTCTCATTCTCTCTCTCTCTCTTTTCCCCCTTTCCTTTAGTGTATTGTGTTCCGAGGTGCGGGTGGTGGGAGGTCAGGTTTGCTGGGAGATGTTCCTTGGCTTTGTTCTAACTGAACAGAATCCGAAGAGCGTTGCTTTCAGTGGCGTGGCGTGTGATGGATGCACCTTGTTTCCAAGGTGTGGCTGGAAATTGGCCTAGCTCCACAACCGGTTTGGTGGTGACCACTGCTTGTGCTTAAGCTGGTATTCTTTCTTCTCCAAAAAGTCATATGAGCTGTGCTTTCAGAGTTAGTGGATGCCCTATGTAGAGACAAGAGCTGGTACCTGGTACCTGGATTTTTGCTATGATACTGAAACCCAGAAAAAAAGGGCAAGCGAGCATTCCACCCGTGGGGCATCTCTCACATTTTTATGGTTTCTCTTCCCCCCCCCCCATCCCTTCTTCTTATAAAGACCTGGAATTTTCTTAAAATTGGCAAGCATCTTTTGAGGGACTAGAGAACAGAAGAACATGATCCCCCTGCACCAAATGAAGAACTCGGAAGAATATTTTGCTCAGCTTAGTTGAAGCTGGTCCCTTGAAATGAGTCCAGCTAGCCCCTGGGGGCCAGTTGCATCTTCTGCTGCAGGCTCAACTCGACATACCAAAAAAAAAATTTAAAACCCCACAAAGTACATCACCCACCCAATCTTCCATAACCCCCCATCACCCAACTTCTCTTGACCTATGGGAATGGAGCAGTCCTTAGGGTATGGAACCCCTTCCAACTCTGTCCCCAGTCTAACGCAGTGCAGAAGGCTGCGGATCATTTTGGGTGAATACGGCTTCATCCTGGTAAGTCTTATTTTGTTAATAAATGAATACTTGGCTATATCTACCCTCTAGTGTGCTCTCTTGCATTCTCCCTTCGGCTGCTGATGTGCTACACTCCTTAGATACCTGTCCAGGTGCAAAACAGAAGAACAAAGAACAAGGGAAATGTGGCAGTCTTGCAACACTTTCAAGACAGCTGTGATTTTTAAAGCAAAAGCAGAAAACAAAATTCTTCTATGGTGTCAATTCCTGGAAGTGGTGTGTGTGGAGAGGGGTTGTGTTTTTAGATCCGGCCTACCTGTGCACCTACCTGAGGTGAAAGTGTCCTTAAGTCACAAAATGGATTGCACCATTTCAGATAGTGCAGGATCATTTTAATTTATTTAGTTAATTAGTTGAAGTTGAAAAAGTCTGGCAACCAGCACAAAGCTGGACTATCACCTTTCTCCCTGAGCTGCTAGCTTTCTAACTGCATTATGTGGGGGGACTTCTCCAGTGCACCCGTGTTGTTACTTATTGCTCAACTACCAGTTTGGCATTCTGCCACTTTATTCTGCTGCATGGCTAGACTCTGGCCTCGCTCCTTGGTGTGTCTTTGAGCTAACTATTCAGTGAAGTGGCAAGTTCTCATTACGAGAAATATATACAAAGTGGAGGGCAGTAAGACTGCTTGGCTGAAGCAAAGTTGGTGTCGCAGGGTTTCTGAGCAGAGAAGTTGGAAAGGCTGTAGCACCATCTAGTGGAGGAGAAAATCGGGAGACTGGTGCTTGAGTCTGTCGACATGCACACCTTTTGCACTGCTGGGGACTATTCTTTATATCGAGTTGTTGCACACCTGCTGAGAGCAGTAGGACCCCTTTCTGCCATTTTGTTTTGTTCAGACAACTAGAATCGGCCTTGCAATACCACCAGTCTAAAACCAGTTGGCCTTGCAACTTCGTGGCAGGTTTTTAATCTCTCGCCTCCTTTTGCAGAAGAGCCCTACCTAAGCCGCCAAACCAAGTGCTCAGATCCAAGAGAAGCACTGCTTTCGTACCTTGTTTAAGTGAGTTTCAGTCAAGGGCAGATGCTGAAGGACACAACAGCTGGTGTGCAAAGGACTGAGGATTGCAATCGATGTGCAAAGAGGTGCAAGGCCAACTGCTTGCAAGGCCTTCTTCTTGGCTGTGTGGGAGAAATCAGTTAACCTGCCTTGTAGCAAAAGATCCGGGGATGATATGAAGCCAGAGTTGCTGGCAAATGGATTTCATTTTGTGACTTCCACTGTCTAGTGCATTTTTGTTGACTTGTATAGCAGCAATGTGTAACCTGGCGTACACTCCAAATGTTTTATGGACTACAGCTCCCACCACCCATGATCATTGGTCATGCTGGCTAGGGCTGATGGGAGTTATAGTCTCAGACAACTGGAGGGCACCAGTTTTTCCTGTCCCTACACAACTGGCTTATCTATCCTGCTTTAAAATCCTTCAGGCTCAGTCCAGTCCACTGCCAGCACAGGGTGCATGGAAGGATCCCAGGGGACATAACAGAAGCTCCCCTCTTCCTTCCCAGTGCAGTGCAGAGATAGCAAACAAGCCATTAGACCTAAATATGCTTCTCCCATCCATCAAGATGCCAAAACTGCATGCTTTAGCTTTGCAGGTTCAAGCAGCCACTGTCCTTCAGAAATCAAATGGCAAAACAAGGACTTGCTTCTCTTGCTGTGACTGCAGTACTTGGATCTTCATCCTTTCCCTATTTCTCCTGCTGGCAGCCACAGATGTGGTCTGAAGGGGATTGCCATGGCTCTCAGTATCACAGCCTCTCTCTTCCATTGGCCCAGTGCAGGAGGTTTTTGTGGGTTTGAAGCACTGGCTTCTTATCTGACTTCCTCCCCGGTCATGTTCTTCTTTCTCAGCCTGACTGGTGAATGGGAGGCCCACCTTGACTTTGGAAAAAGGGAACTGCTTGGTCATATTGGAGTCCGTTTTGACTGTCAACCTGTCAGAATGTTAGGAGCATCTGCACAAGCCGAGTCAGACCAATGGTCTGTCTAACTTGGTGTTCTCAGCAGGAGCTGGTCCTGCCTCTGCAGGACTTGGTGCAGAAGTATTTTCAAGTCCTTCTGGATGACAGGGATTCCCATTCTAGGAGCTCTGTATGAACTGAAGACTTCTTAAGTGAAGCCAAGTGGGCACTGCGGGGTTTTAGAACAGAGAACTCCTGCATCTGAAGCATCTGGTCTCTAGCCCTTCCCCAATCACACGCTGTCACTGAACCCCTGTGTGTGTTCTAAATTGTATCATGAAAAGCTGCCGAGCTTAAAAATCCAGAGAAGAACATTGAGGTGTTGGAGTCTGATGTGGCACTCCTTTTCTTTGATGGCTTTTTTAAAAAGATCTGGGTAAGCTTGTGTAGAAGCTACATGATCTCAGCAAGGTGCCCAAGCATGGCACTGAGGCTGTGGTTACCCAGCTACATTTCTGTTATGTGGCTAATTCCCGTAGATTTCTCCTCTTTTGCAGCATTGCCTTTGTGGCCGAAATAGGCAGGCCTGTTTCCAGCTGTTCAGTAACAGAATTGGGACTGAAGCATGCAGACTTGCTGAGAGCCTCACAGTGGTCAGCTTGTCATTGCAATGGAGCAGTACAGGTGTGTCCAAGAAGGGGAAACTGGGGTGTGTGTCTTTCCACACAAAACCCAATGTGTGAGAAATGTCTCTTCTGTAGTTGGAAATAGCCCAGACCAGGTCAGTGGAACCTGTTCTTCATCGAACAGCTTCCCCCAGCCTGATGCCCTCCAGATGCATTGGGTGATGATTCCAGCATCTGCCTGGGGAATGGTGGGAGTTGTAGTCCCAACACAACTGGAAGGTACCAGGTTGATGGTACTGGGTTGAATAGAGCTGGCTTACTGCAGAAAAGCATCCATGCCTTTTCTTTTCCCAGTAGCGGCTATGCTGCTGCGGTGGATGTGGGAAGCAAACCAGTGAAGAATCTAAGACTTGCAGGGTCAAGCCAGGGGGTTATGTAACCCACCATCCTATTGCCTACAGTGGTCAACCAGGTGCCTCTGGGAAGTGAACCAGCAGGACTTGAGGGCAATAGTTCCTGTGGCACATCAGCGGGTATCCAGTAGCAAACTGCCCGCAATCCAAGAGCAAAAATATAGTCCTTGTAACTAGTGAACAGATTAATAGTGAATCAAAGGTGAACTCTCCAGGCAGATAAATTCCTCTAAGTTTTTCTGGGACCTTGAGCTTGGATTCAAGGGGAAGTCAGATGTGTTTTGCTTTCTGCACAAGATCCATGAGGTCTTTCTCACTTAACAGAAATGTTGCATGGCAATTCTAAAGGAATCAGAGTTAGCCTCCTATTTGTGGGAATGCTCAATATTTCATGGTTAATTTCTGCAAAAAATCAACCAGTCTGGTTGCAGTTACGAGCACTGAAAGTAGTTTGGCTAGATCTCTTTTCATCTTGCCTTCTGTGGTTTAAGAGTGCAATCCTACATGTGTTTATACGGAAGAAAAATCCTATAACTCCCAGCATCCAGTCAGCCATGGAGGCTGAAAGAAGCTGGGAAATGTTGGCCATTTTTTCTACCGAAATGTACATAGAATTGTGCCTTTAGGGTTGCAAGGAAAATGAAAGGGATGAGAAGGGAAGAGACAATATGCCTTCCATTTAATTATTTTAGTTGGAAAATAATATAAGCTGAGCTACACTGAATTTCAGTGCATTTCTCTGTGTGTGAACTTTAAATACTTCATAGAAAATTGATGTTTTGTGGATTCATTTTCAGAAGGGAGTGCTGGAGTACCAGATGGGGTTCAGAAAGACATTGTTAGCCAATAGGAATGGCTTTCACCATTTCCTAAACTTTCCTGCAAAAATTCTAAATTCATTCTACAGTTCCAAATACCTCTGGCATGGCGTTGAGGGGAGAATTTTGGCTCTGTCCAAGTTCACAGGATTGGGATGTAACAGGGAGGGAAAGGGTCCCTTGCCTTTTTTTCCTGTCTTGCTTCTGACAACTTGATGTGTTTGTTCTGAGTGCCAGGGTTTTAAGAGGGTCCGAGAGGCGACGGGGGGGGGGGGGCATCCTTGACTTGGTCTTGACCAAAAGGGAGGAGCTGATAGATGAAGTACAGATTAGGGGAGCTCTGGATGCGAGTGATCACTCCATCCTTTGCTTTGAGATCAGGGGACTGGGGACGTGCAGCAGGTCGAGCACTAGAAGCTGGGACTTCAAGAGGGCCAACTGAACGCCAGACTGGGGAAAGTTTCCTGGGTTAGGTTACTGGAAGGCAAGGGAGTTGAGGAGGGGTGGATGGCACTCAAAAGGGAGGTTTTGGAGGCGCAAGCCTTGACAATACCTCTAGTCAGTAAGGTGGGGAGGCGGAGGAGAGTGCCGCCATGGATGCAAAAGGAGGTGGTTAGAGGGATTAGATGAAAGAGGAACCTCCATAGGAAATGGGTACTGGGGCAAATAGACAAAAGGGTATACCAGGAGGAGGAGGCCCGTTGCAGAAGGATTCTTAGCCTTGCGAAGAATCCTTCTGC